TTACTTTAGCGATGGAAAGGGATAGGTATATACTGCAGGGCAAGAGTTATAGCTGAGGGAAAGGCAATTATGAGGCGATTAGGCAAGATTTAGGATGCATAGGATGGAGAAGGAAACTGCAGGGGCTGGGCACAATTGAAATGTGGAGCTTGATCAAGGAACAGCTACTGCGTGTCCTTGATAAGTATGTACCTGTCAGCAGGGAGGAAGTGGTCGAGCGAGGGAACCTTGGTTTACTAAAGAAGTTGAATCTCTTGTCAAGAGGAAGAAGGAGGCTTATGTAAAGATGAGGCGTGAAGGCTCAGTTAGGGCACTTGAGAGTTACAAGTTAGCCAGGAAGGACCTAAAGAGAGAGCTAAGGAGAGCCAGGAGGTGACATGAGAAGTCTTTAGCAGGTAGGATCAAGGAAAACCCTAAAACTTTCTATAGGTATGTCAGGAATAAAAGAATGATTAGAGTAAGATTAGGGCCAGTCAAGGACGTGGGAAGTTGTGCGTGGAGTCTGACGAGAAAGGAGAGGCACTAAATGAATATTTTTCGTCAGTATTCACACAGGAAAAAGACAATGTTGTCGAGGAGAATACTGAGATGCAGGCTATTAGACTAGACGGGATTGAGGTTCATAAGGAGGAGGTGTTAGCCATTCTGGAAAGTGTGAAAATAGATAAATCCCCTGGGCCGGATGGGATTTATCCTAGGATTCTCTGGGAAGCTAGGGAGGAGATTGCAGAGCCTTTGGCTTTGATCTTTATGTCGTCATTGTCTACAAGAATAGTGCCAGAAGACTGGAGGATAGCAAATGTTCTCCCCTTGTTCAAGAAGGGGAGTAGAGACAACCCTGGTAATTATAGACCAGTGAGCCTTACTTCGGTTGTGGGTAAAGTGTTGGAAAAGATTATAAGAGATAGGATTTATAATCATCTAGAAAGGAATAATTTGATTAGGGATAGTCAACACGGTTTTGTGAAGGGTAGGTCGTGCCTCAAAAATCTTATTGAGTTCTTTGAGAAGGTGACCAAACAGGTGGATGAGGGTAAAGCGGTTGATGTGGTGTATATGGATTTCAGTAAAGCGTTTGATAAGGTTCCGCACGGTAGGCTATTGCAGAAAATACGGAGGCATGGGATTGAGGGTGATTTAGCGGTTTGAATCAGAAATTGGCTAGCTGTAAGAAGACAGAGGGTGGTGGTTGATGGGAAATGTTCATCCTGGAGTTCAGTTACTAGTGGTGTACCGCAAGGATCTGTTTTGGGGCCACTGCTGTTTGTCATTTTTATAAATGACTTGGATGAGGGCGTAGAAGGATGGGTTAGTAAATTTGCGGATGACACGAAAGTCGGTGGAGTTGTGGATAGTGCGGAAGGATGTTGCAGGTTACAGAGGGACATAGATAAGCTGCAGAGCTGGGCTGAGAGGTGGCAAATGGAGTTTAATGCGGAAAAGTGTGAGGTGATTCATTTTGGAAGGAGTAACAGGAATACAGAGTACTGGGCTAATGGTAAGATTCTTGGTAGTGTGGATGAACAGAGAGATCTCGGTGTCCATGTGCATCGATCCCTGAAAGTTGCCACTCAGGTTGATAGGGTTAATAAGAAGGCGTACGGTGTGTTAGGTTTTATTGGTAGAGGGATTGAGTTTCGGAGCCATGAGGTCATGTTGCAGCTGTACAAAACTCTGGGGCGGCCGCACTTGGAGTATTGTGTACAGTTCTGGTCGCCGCATTATAGGAGGAATGTGGAAGCATTGGAAAGGGTGCAGAGGAGATTTACCAGGATGTTGCCTGGTTATGGAGGGAAGGTCTTATGAGGAAAGGCTGAGGGACTTGATGCTGTTATTGTTGGAAAGAAGAAGGTTAAGAGGTGACTTAATAGAGATATACAAGATGATCAGAGGATTAGATAGGGTGGACAGCGAGAGCCTTTTTCCTCAGATGGTGATGGCTAGCACGAGGGGACATAGCTTTAAATTGAGAGGTGATAGATATAGGACAGATGTCAGAGATAGGTTCTTTACTCAGAGAGTAGTAAGGGCGTGGAATGCCCTGCCTGCAAAAGTAGTAGACTTGCCAACTTTAAGGGCATTTAAATGGTCATTGGATAAACATATGAATGATAACGGAATAGTGTAGGTTAGATGGGCTTCAGATTGGTTTCACAGGTCGGCGCAACATCGAGGGCCAAAGGGCCTGTATTGCGCTGTAATGTTCTATGTTCTATGTTCTAATCTCAAATTCACCTGGACCAACTCTGACACCTCCCTCCACTTCCTGGACCTCTGCGTCTCCATCTCTGGCAACCGACTTCCATTTCAAACCCACCGACTCCCACAGCTATCTTGACCACACCTCCTCTCACCTATCCTCTTGCAAAAATGTGATCCCATACTCCCAATACCTCCGCCTCTGTCGCATCTGTCCCGGGATGAAGCGTTCCACTCCCGGACATCCCAGATGCCATCCTTCTTCAAGGACCATAATTTCCCGTCTCCTGTGATTCAGAATGCCCTCAACCACATCTCCTCATTTCCCGCACTTCTGCCCTCAAATCCCCTTCCCCTAACGACAACAAGAATAAAGTCCCCCGGTCCTCACATACTAACCCACCAATCTCCAATACCAATGCATCATCCTCCGCCGTTTTTGCCACCTGTGATTTCACCCCACCACCAAAAAGATATTTCCTTCCCCATCTCTATCTGCTTTCTGTAGGGACTGCTCACTCCCTCGTCAGCTGCACATGCCCCACCAATTTTCCCACCACATCTGGCATCCTGCCCTGCAACCGCAGGAGGTGCTACATCTGCCCCTACACATTCCCTCTCAGCTGCATCCAAGGCTCCAAACAATATTCCATATCCAGCAGAGATTTACCTGTACATCTTCTAACCTGATCTACTGTATCAGTTGCTCCCAATGTGGTCTTCCCTATATCAGGGAGACCAAGCACTGATTCAGGGACCGATTTGCAGAGCATCTACGTCGGTATGCTCCAATCAATGCCACCTTCCGGTAGCTAGCCATTTCAACTCCCCATCCTACTCCCTTGGCGACATATCCATCCTGGGCCTCCTCCACTGTTAAAATGAGGCCACACGTAAACTGGAAGAGCAACGCCTTACATTCCGCCTTGGGAGCTTACAGCCCAATGGCCTCAACATAGAGTTCACCAGCTTCAAAATCTCCCCACCACCAGCCTCGTCCCATGTCCAGCCCTACCTCTCATCCCCACCTCTTTGACCTGATACACCTGTCCATCTTCCTTCTCATCCATTCACTCCATCCTTCCCACTGACCAATCTCTACAATTCCCTACCTGCATCCACCTATCATCATCCCTCCTCCTTCCTCCAGCCCAACCTCGCCCGTTTATTTCTGAGCTCCCTTCCCCTCCCCAGTCCGGCTGAAGGGTCCAGACTCGAAACATTGACTTTCCTGCTCCTCTGATACTGCCTGACGTGCTGTGCTCCTTCAGCTCCACATTTTATCGATTCTATTTGACCCAAATGGTGGTAAACAAGAGAAAAACTCTGCCCCTGCTTCTCCAATTATGCAATTTTATAGTTTCAAGAATTATACTTTTCTGTTGATACAAAGATGCTACCCAAAACAATCACTAAACAATGCTCATAGGAGAAGCCAAGGGAACAGGGTGATAGTTCAAAAGATCTCCAACAGTTTATGTTTTGAGTGTAATGAAACACATATCTCACTCAGTGCAACAACAGCAACATTCAATAAACTTAACTGCATCTAGTGTTGAGCAATTTTTGAATATCATCTATGCCATTGCACTCAACATCCTTCCCAAGTATATAAGGTGACAGTTCTGAAGAAATGAATGCTCATATGACATTGAGCTCCACTCATTGTGATGTAACATAAAGACAAAGTGTTGACAAGTTCTGCTCTGGCTTTTGGAAGGAGCAAATGCACTTGTACAAACTCCTTATGGTCCTAGTAATTATGCCTGATCGAATATATTTGCACTCATTGTTATAATGCAGTAAACCTTGTTATCTAAGAACAGTCCCTCTTCTGTAGATAGTCCATGGTGATGGATCCTCCTACCAATAATCACTAGATAGGTAGAGAGAAGAAAGGGACACTGTTTGTAGCAGACTGCCTCAAACAATCTTGACTCAGCACCGCATACTATAGAGGTGGTAGTTACTACAAGGAAAGGAATAATCGTCTAAGAAAATAACACACATTCCATCGTTCAAACCTTGTGGCAATAACACATGCGATTTTAAAATTGTATGGAAAGCCTTCCAGTCCTACTACGAGTGAGAACAGAACAACGATAACACGAGAAAACCATCACCTATAAGTTTTCCTCCAAGTCACAAACTATCTTTACTTTGGCCTGTACTCCTTCACCATTCTGGAACTTCTTATGGCACCCTCATTACTAAGACTGAACGTAAGGTCTCAGTCACCAATAAATGGACAATAAATGTCGCCTTGTTTGAATCATGTAATATCGTGAGAAACAAAAATTGCAATCCACCAGTTTCCAGTACTAAATAATGATATGATAGTCACAATTTAAATAAAGGAAAAGGTAAATACATTACAACAAATACGCTTCTAACCATGGTTAGAAGAAGTAAACTATAAATTGCAACAGAATTTAATAAATTAGAATAGCATATTGATATTTTTAAATTATAATGTTTACCTGATGTTAAAGGAGAGCTTTTGAGATGCAGATTTGCGACTGTAATAGGAAGCAAATATTTGATAAAATGTAATATTTTTCCTTCACAGTTTTGGCATTTGTACTTATCATAAACCGTTGGAAGGAAAAATAGTCGCCAAATTCCCCTTCTTAAAATAATAATCATAAAAAGCAAGATTGAATCTTGATGCTCTCCTAAAAGTCCTTTTGCAGTATTGATCCCAGCTCTTTTGCATCATTTACTTCTTTGCACTTTCTACTTCCGCCTTGAATGATTGACAGGCGGGCCGATGGGCTGAAACCACAGCCAATCAGAGATCACATCAGGGAACGGGTCAGCCGTGGTAGCACATGCGCAGATTCACGCGACTGCCATATGTCTGAAAGAGATTTTAAAAAGTGACAGTGAGGTAACAGTGTACAAAACATGGGGAAAAAACAGAAAAACAAGAGTGAAGATAAGTGAGTGTTGAGCTGTTTACCTTTCTGTTTATTCGTTACTGAAGAGGCTGGTTGCCGTGAGCGATGGAAGGAATTGAGGGAGTATGTTGCTTGACTAGGCCGCTGGACGGATCTGCTCCTACTGCTCGAGTGCGGAGGAGCCCGGGTCCCTACCGCTAACATGACGCAAGAGGGGCAGGCCGGCAGGCTACTGACTGGGGTTAACGTTAGTTTGTTTTGTAGAAATGGTAGACTTCGAGGCTGTCTTCACCCCCTTCCTCTATGATCCTCCTTTACGTTTTTAAGGAACGTGATAAACCATAGGCTTAGAATTTGTTTCTACGTATGATTTTTATCCAATAATTTTAGGGTCATGTTAAAAATGGACATAACATACGTCGCAGTTTTCTTTTCCTAAACATTATGGGCCATATCTAGAAGATGTTACTCTGATGCAGACTTTATATTGGTTTGACTCATTATGGATTTTTAGGTATGTTAACATTCCTGTTGAAGTGGCAAAGACACGCTAGATGAACATAATATCAGTACAATAATTTCTAGACTGAAGATTAATGTGGAATATAATTTAGGCCTTTATTATGATATCAGTTGCAAATCTTTGTCAGAAGATGGCTGCTTATGTTGCCTTGGCCTTAGCTATTTGTTATCTTCTACTCTGTGAGCCTGGACTATATGGTGTATATTAATTTGTATATACTGTGTATAATAATCATAATTATGAGTAAATATTTGCAATCAACCTGTGCAGATTTGTTATGACACACTTCTGGAACCAGGCCTTCTGGCTCAGAAGTTGGGATACCATTGCTGTGCCACTAAAGCCCTTCCACAATCCTGTTTACAATCAAAAATAGAATTCCAAGCATATGTGAGAATACTTGGTGAGCCCTTTGCCAACTTATTAGTGTTGAAGTATCTGAATAGAGTAGTTCTATCATCTAAATATCTAGTTAGATTTGCCTTATTTCCAAATGTTGCCCACATTTGTGTTCAACTTGTCCATTGAAAAGGATACAAAACATTTTCAGATACTGTTTGAATAAACTTAGCTGTTAGCTTGTAAAGCTTTGAAAATTAGTTTACTTGTATAATTAACTGCCTGTTCATTGATTGTACCTGTATTCTCTAATTCAATGAAAAGTGTTCCCCATATGTCAATAAATAGAAATAAGTTCACCCTTGGGCTGGAATGACCCTGCACATCTTGTGACCACCATGCACTTGGGTGTATTTTCTTGCATCTTATCAGGCATTCAATCCCATGATGAATAATACAAAAGTATTCACGCACGAGTTTATAAAATTCAGTGCTTGCTAGAAAATTTGAATGATCAGAAAGGAGGCAACGGACTAGTGGTATTAGCGGTAGACTGTTAATAATTTGGGGTTCAAATCCCACCATGGCAAATGGTGGAATTTGAATGCATTTAAAATCCTGGAGTTAACAGACTTATGATCACCGTGAAACTGGTGTCGTTTGTCAGAAAAACCCATCTGGTTCACTAATGTTCTTCAGGGAAGGAAATCTCCCAGTCTTACCTGGTCTGGCCTATGTGTGATTCCAGATTCTCAGCAATAGGGTTAACTCAACTGTCCTCTGGGCAATTAGGGAGGGCAATAAATGTTAGTGTAGCCAGCAATGCCCTCCTATGAAGGGATTTTTTTAAAAAAGTATTATTTAATAGTAGCCATCATATTACATTTATCAGCAGGGTCTACAGCATATTTCAGCTTTTATAAATTATAAAATTTGGCAACTGGAATTTGCTAATTGATTTATTACTGAAAATTATGAAACAAGTTGTCACCATTAATCATTAGTGACGGACACTAAATGCAGAAGGAGAGAGATTGATGAAGATTGATGTATGGTTGTTTGTGGGAGAAGGAACGATTGTGAGAAGAAGGGATCTTGAGAGAGATTACGTATTGGTGTGTATAGATCAAGAAACATGAAGTGAGAGAGGAAGGGGTGCATGAATGAATAATCTAGATTTCAAGAAATGAAAAATATCAAATGTGCTAAGTTTTGAACACAAGCAAAATGCTGCAGATGCTGGAAATTGGAAATAAATAATAAAATGCTGCAAATGCACATTCGGTCTCATAGAATTTGTGGAAGGTAATAGTTAACATTTCATCAGACCTGACTCGGAGTTAGAATCATCATAGCTTTCAAGGAGAAATATGGGCGGGGGGAGGTTTTAAGACAAAAACAAGAGGGAAGCTCATTAATTGGAGAAACTGTCAATCTCCACAGAAGTGGTTCCCACTATATTATTGGAACTTAGGCCTGTCAATTGCCCAGATCCTGATGAACTTCAACCTATGGTCCTAAAAGAAGCGGCTAATGATATAGGTGATGCATCAGTTTTAATTTCTCAAAACTTTGTTGATTCAGTGACAAATGAAATTCAATGCAGAGAAGTTAAAATGATGAGTTTCGATAGGATGAACATGCACAGTTCTTTTATGTTGTTTGTCAAAGATTTAGGAGGCTGCAGGAGCACACGGACATGGGTGTATATGTGCATAGCATATTCAAAATGGCAGGAGAGAGCAGTTGTTGAAGCAAACAGTACCCTGGACTTTATTAATGGGGCTCGAGTAAAGAGATTTGGCTTAACTTTTGAAAGGCATTTGTTAGACTCCAGCCATAATATCATGTACGGTTCTGGGTGCCATTCTGTTGTCATCAGCAACTGCTTGCTAACAAGTATGATTGTCCACCTAGGAACTTCTGTGCTACTGGTCAGCCACACTGTAGGAGTGATGTGAACGTTTTAGAGAGAGTGCGGAAGAGATTTACAAGAATCGCTTCAGTTAAGGTGATAGATTGGAGAGGTTGGAACCGATTCTCATGAAGAGAAGGTGGCTAAAATGAGGTCGAATAGAAGTTCTTAAAATCATGAGACTGCATAGAGTAGCTAGGGAGAAACTCTTCGCAATCTTACAACGATCAAGAATGAGATGGTACAGATTTCGAGTGATTTGCAAAAGAAATAAACGTGATTTGAGAAAAGAACTTCCTCACACAACTATTGAGTCAGGTCTGGAATAAACTGCCTAGAAGTGAGATGGAAGCAAGTTTAATTGAGGCATTCAATGGCATTAGATGATTCTTTCTGTTTAAATAATGTGCAAGAGTATGGGAAGCAGGCAGGAGAATGGCACTAAGTTATAATTCCCATTTGGAAAGCTGCTGAAGACGGGAGGGGTTGAATGGCCTCCTGCTGCACCTGTAACACTTCAGTGACTCTGAAGAGAAAAATAAAATGGGTTGCAGCAACAAGCTGTCCTCTGGGACAAGGAGGCAGAGATAGAAATGTCTTTCTTTCTAGAAAGATAGAACCATTTAGAAGACTAATGGGTAGGTAAGTGTCTTTCAGAGAGATAAGCATGTCCAATGGAGAGAAAAGGCGTGTATCAGCCTTGATTTACCACTGCAGTTTAGCAATTTTAAAAAAAAAAAGACAGTGCAGAAGAAAAGTCCTGTATGGCGAAAAGTTAGGTGACAGGAGAATGTGGGCAGCACGATGGCTCAGTATTTAGCACTGCTGCCTCACAGCACCGGGGACCTGAGTTCAATTCCACCCTCGGGCCACTATCTGTGTGGAGTTTGCGCATTCTCCCCGTGTCTGCTTGGGTTTTCTCTGGGTGCTCCAGTTTCCTCCCACAGTCCAAAAATGTGCAGGCTAGGTGGATTGGCCATGCTAAATTGCCCGTGGTGTTCGGGGAGGGGGGAATGGGTCTGGGTGGGTTGCTCTGAGGGTTGGTGTGGATTTTTTGGGCCAAAGGGCCTGTTTCCACACTATAGGAATTCTGTGATGATGATCTATGAATATCTTACAAGGCCATTGAATGCACAATTTAAGTGAACACCTGGTGAGGAATAAATCAGTTATGTTAACAGCTTAATGGTCTCCTGAAGAAATCTGACCCAGAGATGATGGTGTAGAGTGAATGCAGAAGTTTGCTGGTAAGAAGCCAAGTATAGCCATGCTTACTGAACAGAAGCTTTTAAAGTGGAAAGAGAGTAACTCAGACTTTTAAGGTGAGGATAAGAAGATTGAATCTTCCTAATATGTACTAAAAACATTTCAAATAGTTCTTGTATAAAGGTAAAGTCACCATTGTCTTACCAAACTGCAGGGCGACTGTCTCATTGGAGAAACACAGCTGGTGGTATTTTAACCTGAGGGTCACCATGCCTCAGACAAGTGGAGAGGTTGAGAAGGAGAGTCCTTCATGGTAACCTCAGCCAGCGTAAGAGTTGAACCCATGCTGTTAGCTTCACTCTGCATTGCAAATCTGCTGTCCAGCCAACTGAGTTAAACTGATCCCAAAGGCTAAGTTAGAAGAAGGATTTGTGTAATAACACGAACAAAAATATGATCTTTTTTGTTAAAAGTAGATTGGCAGCCTCTTTTTAATATATTCACTTACTGACCACAGAAATAAACCAATTGCCAAAATTAAATTTCTAGTCTATCAAACCAGATTTCAAGTTGGAATTTAACTTGTCCAGTAATATCATCAGCTGGGATGATAGCATTGACCGAGTTTCAAGTTTGTTTTTGCCAGCTGGAGTTAACAGAATATTATTGTTGAACTTTCTGTTGTATCTCATTTTTATGATGTTTGGTCAGCTGTTATTTGTTCTGGTATTGATGGTTTGCAAATTCTTTGCTCTTTAGTTTTTCTCAAATTTTATCCAATTTTGGCCTTGCATCCACTAAAATAGCACAACTTAATGGGTGTATATTTGTCACATTGTATTATTTCTAATCTCCAATTTTGTTTGATATGTACCCTTACTAAGTACAGTAATATTTTTTGTGATTGAATGAATCAATGAAAGAACACTGATTAAAGCTTCAGTCTCTGATCTTAACCAATCAGTATCTTTTTTTGATGTGTTTAGGAAATAGCTTCAGTGTCCAAAAGAATTATGGGAGAGATTTCTGTTGCTGTACTCTGTTTTCTAAAAATATTTT